CATCCCACTCCTGGGAATTTACCCAAGGGAAATGAAATCAGTAAATAAGAGAGTTATCTGTACCCCCACATTTATTGTAGCTCAATTTACAAAAGCCAAGATATGGAATCAACCTAAATGTCCATCAATTGAAGACTGGATAAAGAAATTATAGGATATGTGCTCTATGGAATAATACACAGCGGTAAAAAAAGAAAATGAAATCCAGTCATTTGCAGCAACAACATGAATCTAGAAAACATCATACTTAATGAAATAAGCTAGTCCCAAAGGGACAAATACCATTTGTTTTGCCTGATCTGTGATAAATAATAGAACACCTAAAAGGACATCTGTAGAAGTGAAATTGACACTTTGAGAAGCAATGACTTGAGCAGCCCTTGTCTTGACTGTCAAGGAACTTTTTTTTTTCTTAATGGAGAATAGGACTGGGAATGTGAGAGGGAGGAAGAAGTGGGCTGGGAGTCAGGGTGGGAGGGAGGGTACGATGGGAAGAATCACTATATCCCTAAAGTTGTACATATGACATTTGTATTCATTAAATAAAAGGTTTCTTTGGGGAAATAAAAAAAGAGTGGTATTGCAAGTAACCTCTCAACTGTTGCTAATACTCAAAAATGCCAGTATTGATAACTGCAAAAATGTGAGTCAAGAAATCATTAGACATGAGAGAAAGCTTTGGGTAATTTCTAGAAGTAAGCAACAAAAGGCAGGAGACTTTAGAATTATGACAATATCACACAGTTCCTAAAATGGGTTAAAAATGACCAACTTAACACTTCTTTGGACAAGAATGTTGAGAATTGAGAATATTTCTGGATTCCCCCCACCCAGGGTTTGTATTTCTTATTTTAAATTAAAATCATTAGTAGAATGTGATTTGGGTTTTCACATGGCCAACTTTGCTGGAACACTGTTATGAAATATCATGGATTGGCCCTATGTGTCCTCTCAAAAGTATTTTGCTCTTTATCTCCCAAAGGAATGATTATTTGGGAGAAACCAACATAGCAACACTGCATGGAGCATGAATCCATGGCCTTAGGGAGCTCATTGAGGAGAAAAAGGTGAAAATTGCCAGAAAGGTTTCGATTAGGGAGTTGCTTAATGCCTGTTGGGGTTCACCAGCATCCTCACTCCTCTCTTTCTTCATGGTGGCCCAGCTAAGAGATATTTCCTAACCTCTCGCCCATTAGTTGGAGTCATGTGACTAACTTCTGGTCAATACAACATGCATGATAGCCATCATCCTTATCGTATGGTCCCCTGATCTGTTTCCCTTCCACAACAACGTTGTTGAAGATAGGAACATCACAGGACGGGAGGGACCTAGATTCCTGAGTCAACACTTGTAAGAGAGCCACCCAATCTGCGATGGATTGTGATGTGAATGAGAAACAGACAATTATTGTGCTGTCATTAAAATCTTGCTGTTATTTGTTAAAGCAAGTACTATATGCTCCAGGAATTGGTGCCTTGAAATGGGATGCTGCTATAAAAAAAAAAAAAAAAGGCCAGTATGTAAATACTGCATATCTGGAGATGAGGACCTGGATATTAAGAGACTGAAAAGATGGAAATTGATGCTATGCAGTGGCAAAATACTTGGTTAACTGGGCACCATGGTAACTACTACTGAACTGGCACACTGGGGCATTTGTTAGAATCAAAGTGAGGGCCGGCGCTTTGGCGCAGCAGGTTAACGCCCTGGCTTGAAGTGCCGGCATCCCATATGGCCGCCAGTTCTAGTTCCGGCTGCTCCTCTTCCAATCCAGCTCTCTGCTATGGCCCGGGAAAGCAGTAGAAGATGGCCCAAATACTTGGGCAAATGCACCCGCATGGGAGACCCAGAAGAAGCTCCTGGCTCCTGGCTTCAGATCAGCGCAGCTCTGGCCATTGTGGCCATCTGGGGAGTGAACCAGTGGATTGGAAAACCTCTCGCTCTCTCTCTCTACCTCTCTCTGTGACTCTGCCTTTCAAGTAAATAAAATAAATCTTAAAAAAAAAAAAAAGAAGCAAAGTGGTAATGTGTGTGTTCTCTTTAATTGCCCATATCTGGCCAAGCAACACAAGGAAGACATGAGCTTGGGAGAAGTGGCTGGTTTGCAAAGAGAAATAGTAGGGAACAGGGAGAACCCAGAAATTTAATCCTGAAAGAGAGGAAAGCACCAGCTGCCTCAAAGAGCAGGGAGTAGACTGGAGAGCTTTGCAGCAGTAAAGGCCCATTCAGACCAACCCTTGGTGAACTGACCACGGTGAGGGTATGGCCTGGTCTTGCAGCTTCAAGGCAGTCAGCCTCCCTCAGAGAGAGAGAGGCACAGGGGAAGGGGAACACGGAAGTCAGGCAGGTTTGGGGAAATCTCTGGACGTGGTCACAGGACCCGTGAACCTGACTGGGAGCAAATAGAAAAGACTGCTGAAAATCGGAAGGACTTTAACTGCCAAAGAAACCACGCAGGCCCAGATTTTTATCTTGTACCTGATGGCCAGAACTGAGAGCAGCCTTGCTCCGGGATCAAATGAGCAGTGAGAGTTGAGCAGCCCTCAGGAATGGCCCACTCCACAGCATCTACTTCAGATGTCTCAAATAGGCTAGAAGGTAGGAAGAACCTTCCAGAGGGCATAGCTTATAGTACAATGGGCAAGAAAGCTCTTCCAGAGATATTAATCAGAGCCTGAGCAAAGAATCCCCCCTATCCCAGAGTCCGCGGTCTTTACAACACCTGAGGGCGCTCCGCTTTTCTGTAGGCTACACTAGTCTTTCCTTCTTCGCATTCATGGATGGACATTTTTATTATGATCCTCTCATCCACACGCCTCTGTTTTACCTGGGAACCACAGGGGGAGCTGATGGAAAAGCCTGAGACTCACTCAGAGACCCTGGACTTGGAGCTCAAGGCACTGACTGCTAACTCCACCTTCCTATTAACGCACACCCTGGGAGACAGCCAGCTAACGGCTCCAGTACATAGGTCCCTGCCACCAAGGTGACAGATCTGGACAACGCTGCAACCAGATAGCGTTTTGCTGCTAGCTCTGCATGATCAGGGCAACACCCAGGACACAAACCTGGAGACCCACAGAGGCAGGCGTTGGGAATGGTACCCCTCACACCAGGGCTCTGCCCTCTCCCCACCAGCCAAAGAAAGCGTGAGCAAAACCAAGGGGCATTTTCTGTTCTTTCTATCAACAAATGTCTGTATGATCACCAGCGTCTGTGGAGTTCCGTGGCTGAGCACACAAGCCATGAGTTGGGCCTGCTCAGGTTCAGAGCCCCAGCTCTCCTCTTGCTGTGAGGCATCTTCCGTGCCTCAGTTTCCTTGTCTGAAAAACAGGACCATAATGGCGCTCACCGCGCAGGGCTGCTGTGAGGATTAAACAGGCAGAGTGGACAGTGAGAGAGAGAGAGAGACAGAGAGAAAGGTCTTCCTTTGCCGTTGGTTCACCCTCTAATGGCCGCCGCGGCTAGCGCGCTGCGGCCGGCGCACCGCGCTGATCCGATGGCAGGAGCCAGGTGCTTCTCCTGGTCTCCCATGGGGTGCAGGGCCCAAGCACTTGGGCCATCCTCCACTGCACTCCCTGGCCACAGCAGAGAGCTGCTCTGCTGGAAGAGGGGCAACCGGGACAGAATCCGGCGCCCCGACCGGGACTAGAACCCAGTGTGCCGGCGCCGCAAGGCGGAGGATTAGCCTTGTGAGCCGCGGCGCCGGCCACAGGTTGTCTTTTGATGTACATACTCGTTGCCGTTTACAAGCACCTTTCCTGAGCCACAGTGCTGGGAGACTCGGAATCCAGATACAAGGTCTCAGAGCACTGTGACCATGACCAGGCAGCAAAGGTCCTCCCTGAACCTCAGCCTCCTCAGCCGTAGAATGGGCAGAGCATCCGCGCTCGCTCCCTCAAGTTTGCTGCGGGTTTTGCCGAGATGCGGGGAGAATGTCAACTTGACCTGGCAAAGCAGGGCAGGCTACAGAGGCCTGAGCACCGGCCTTTGTGGTCTGCAGGGATTTGGGGATCATCCTGGGGCGGTCTTTTTCTGCTCCGGGTTTAGGAGAAAATTCCCCCCCCCCCCCCAGCGGGTTGGATCGAATCTACCTTGCTTCAGCGTGACATGATATGGTTGTGGGCCGTGGGTGCCAGAGTCAGAGCTGATGCAGCCACGCAAAAAGGCCTGGCTGGGCGGGCCCACCCGTGGTCCCCTCGGCCCCTGCACCTTCTGGTCCCGAGACTCATCCCTCCCTGGTGCTGTTGCTGGTTAACGGTTGGCCTTGCTCACCAGAGGAGCCTGTGACGGGCCGTCCACACTTCCCAGAGCAGAGGGCAGCGCCTGGCACCTGTGGTGCTCAGGGCAAGTTCAGCGCCCGAGGAAGGGCGCTACAGACGGGCTCATGGTGAGAAGCTCGCTCCTTGCGTTTGGACGCAATACTCAGGCACTGTGCACACCAGAGCCCCGCCACCGAATCAGGAGCCCCCCTCCCCCAGGCCTGGAGACGAAAGCCGCACACTAAGTCGCTGGGGGCAGCCACAGGGTGACAATTACCCCGCTCCGCCCACCTGAAGACTTGCGAGGAATTTTCAGGGCTAAAATGAAAAGAAGTTCCCTGGCAAAGCTGGGCTGTAGGAGCTGGACCTAAAACCTAGGAATCCTGCCTTCTTCCCACCCCCTGGACTCCACGGGTGGGTGAGAAAAACGTGCATGGCTGAAATCAAGGTCCGCGCTGCCTGCCTAAACCAGCAGGGGTATCCGATAGTGAGAACCCTGCCCCCCAACCGTGAGCCCCCACCGCAAGGCGGCCCCAGGCGGTGTCGGCCTGGAGGATGCGGGCGGGACCAGGTTCGAGGCCAGACGCTGGGCGCTGGGGTCCCGGGGGGCGGGGGCGGCGAGGCGGACGGGCCGGCCTCGGCACAAAGCGGCCCAGCCGCGGCAGTTTTGAAAATACTAAGGAAGTTGATCTGGGCCGGGGCCCAAGAAGTGACGAGGAGGGCGGGAGGGAGAGGGAGAGGGAGGACGCGCGGGGCGTGGGGCGGCAGCACAGCTCGCGGGGCTCCAGCGAGAAGCGCGCGGCGGCGGGATGCGCGCCCTGGGCGGGGGCGGCGCGCGGCGCTAGGCGCCCGGCGGGGCGTCCCCAGCCTGCGACCCCGCGGGACCCTCCCCCGGGCCCGCCGCCTCGGCAGCACGCAGGCGGGAGCATGACTCCAGGCCCGAGCCCCTGTGCCGCGGGCGCCGCGTAGGAGCGGCCATCGCGTGCCCTGGGACGACCCGCGGCTTTGCCGGCTCCCCCGCAGCTCCAGCCGCCGCCTGCAGCGGGGCCCTGCCGAGGCCCGGCCAGAAGGGACCATGAAAGGTAAGTGGCGCGCAGCGGGTCCGGGAGCAGTCGGCGGGGAAACACCGGCACCAGGAGCCAGGGCGCCGGGGGGTGGAGGGGCGCCTTTCCTCCAGCAGGCGGGGCCGAGAGGAGGGAGGGCGCCTCCGGGAAGGCACCCCGAGGCCGTCTCGCACGCAGCACGTTGGATCTTCCTGAGGAAGGTACTGGGAGGAGCAGGCGGGGAGCCCGCAGTTCCGAGGAGGGGGACGGAGGGAGGACGGCGAACGCAGGCGCCGCTGCCAGTGCTCTTCCCACCCGGCATGGCTCCTGCCCTCAAAAACAGCCCTCAAGTCCCGGAAGGTTCCCGCTAGTGCAGAAAGTTGTCACAGGCCACAGAGAACTTACCCCGGAAGTTCCCGAAGCCCCTTCCCCAAGAGAGCCCTGAGCCTCAGCCCTGACCGTACCCTTCCGACCTTTGACCCTTGCCTGCCCTGCCCTTTGACCTCCTTGGGGCAAAGCCGCTGGGGGACTAAGCCATTGCGAGAAGACAGGACTAGGCATGGTCCCGAGTAGCTGCTCCTGGCCTGGCTCTCTTGAGGACAGGGCGAGGGGGGGCCTGGTCCTCAAACTTCCTTTGAGGCTAGGGGAGCCGCCGGCTTTGGAGGCAAGCTATGGGACAGGGAGACTTTGGAGTTCTTAATGGTGTCTCCGGTGCCTTTCACACTTTCACACGGAAGGCTGTGGCCCCAGCTGTGCCACCTCCACCACCTCATGCAGTTACTGAACGGGGAAATGGAACAGGACCCTTGGATCATCTGCATGGCTTTAACCGTGCCCTCAGAGCGATGCGGGTGGAGGGCAGGGGCCCAGAGCTCACAAGCCTGCTTCTGCCAGAGCTGATCTTTGCCTCTTGGACGGAAGAGTTCAAAGACGCATTTGGAGACAGGGCTCTGCTGACAAACCAGTGGCGCACTGAGCCCCCGCCTGTGTGTGTGGCTGAGCAAACAGGTAGGGTGGGCTTCACGAGTGTGCGGCCACACTTGGTTTCATGTCCTACCTTCAAATTCTTAATGACTGTCTCAAAAGGGACTCGCACACCCCCATGTCCATTGTACACCGAGCCCCACAAATTGCGAGGGTGTCCTGTGTACAGGGGGAGCGACTTGCTGCAGATGTGCAGCCAGTCAGGGGACTCGAGTCCCAGGCTCCTGGCTCCCCGTCCAGGAAACACCCTGCCTCTCCACTGCATCCTTCCCTCTGGCCTCTGCGCCTTTGGCCTGAGCCTCCTGATGGCCTGACCATGTCTTGAACTGCTTGGGGATGAGCCAGGCAAGTTATGATCAACCCCAGTGAGTTCCCTTGGCAGGCAGAGAGGGGCCTCGCCCACTGAGCACTGTCTTCCAGCTGCCACATCTATGGGGCTCTGCCCTCCCTGGTCAGAGAGGGCTGGGGCACGCATTCCAAGGAGCCTCCAGAAAGCATTCAGCCCACGTCTTACCCCGGGCTTCAGCCCACACTGCCCCTGTGCCTGATGATGAGGGTATGATGCGGCACATTCTCACAGCGGTTTGGTTCCACCAACATTCCAGACCAACAGTGCAAGAGAAAGGCAGGCGGGACCGAAATCCTGCGAAATGGAGGAGTGAAGAGCGGGCATGCATGAATATTTGGGAGGTGGGCCTGCCGACACATGCCGCTGGGTTCCAGGGGCCTTGTGGGCTGCTGGAGTGGGGCCTGGGGGCTCCCAGAAAGAAGCCCCAGCCCTGCCTCTCCCCCGCTTCCCCTGCTCTGAACAGCACCCTTGCCATGAGCAGGGCAGAATTCCTGCTACCTCTATGGCAGCGCCCACGAACTTGTCCCTCAGTGTCCAGAAACCCTCAGGTATCTCTCGGAACAACGCAGGGAGCCACGGGCGCAGGCCAGGACTGGTTCTCAGCCCACCTCCCTCCCCGGCCACCACCTCCACCTAGGAAGGGAACAGCAAGGCAGACAGCAAATATTTGGCCTTTGGGATCTGTGGAGTGTGAAGAACCAGGCATTTTCTCACCCGAGTGGAAAAAGTCAAGAGCCCCGCAGAGCAGGGCGGCTGCCGCTTCCAGAGGGGGGGAAGCTGGCCTCTGTGCTCCTCTGGAGAGCCCCCACCCTGATCTTCAGATTACACCCCCTGGCACGGGATCCTCAGCCTCTGCTCAAAGCAAACACGGTGATGTGATGTTTGCTCCGGGAGAAACGTTGGTGGCGATGGCACTTAAACATGCTTGCTGAGCGGCTCAGCTTCCCCCCACCCCCGCCATGGCCAGGCGCCAGAGCCCACTCTGCCAGCTGAGCTGTTTCTACCCCGAGGCCTCTCCAGCCCAAGCCGCATCCAGCTGGGCCTCCCAGGCAGCTGTGTCCTTTGATGCAAGCTGACACCTGGCTCGTCTCACCTGTGATCCTAAGGGGCCCGCAGCTGCCACCAGGGCATTGCATTGCTGATGGGCCCTCCTCAGAGCTCCCCACTGGCTTGTTGGAGTGAGCCACAAACACCTGTGTCACTGTTGCCACCCCCCCCCCACCCCCAGTGGGAGGAGCTCTCGCAGATGCTCGGGAAGCAGCCTGGTGCCTGTGATGATGACTGCCTGAAGACGCACAGACGCGGGCTCTCCTCTGCCCCTGGGGAGGATGTACCCCTCCTGTACCACCTGGGCAAAGTGTGGGCAGGGAGAGGAGGGGGTTGGGAAGATTCAGCCATGTGATGCCGGGAGACGTCCACCTCACAGCGTGGCTGGTTCTGTCCATGCATGAGAGGGCAGGCAAGGTCCCCCAGACCTTGGGGCACAGGAGGGAGCCTGGGCTAGAAGAAAAGGAACTGATGTGGCAAAGGTAAATAGAGTCACCAATCAGCCAGTCCCGGGGCACCAGGGGCTTAGATGTTGGAGGTTGGCTCCATGCCCTCAGGCACACACATCCCCATAAAACAGTCACCTGGCAGTCTCCATGGAGGACAGGCAGCTGTTCTGGGTGTTAGAATTGGCAGGCAGGACAGCACCACTCATCTGTACACCACTCATGTCTGGTCATGTTGCAGTTAGTGTGTTTGTTGGAGCACAAGAGGCCCAAGGACAGGCCCAGCCCTGTCACAGAGCAGCTTTATCATGCTGTCCTTTCTCTCAGGGGCTTACCCCTTTCTAAAACACTTAAAATTCATGCCCAAATCATTTAGACGAAACTAAAAGTCGTCAAGTGTCATGGAAGAGGCCCCCAGGGAGTCGCCATGGTGGCACAGCGGGTTAAGCTGTGGCGCCTGCGACGCCAGCATACCATATGAGCAGCAGTTCAGTTCTGGCTGCTCCCTTTCCAGTCCAGCTTCCTACTAATGCACCTGGGAAACCAATGGAAAACAGCCCAAATGTTTGGGCCCCTGGCCACCCACGTGGGAGACCTGGATGGAGTTCCTGGTTTCCACCTGGCCCAGTCCCAGCCGTTGCAGTCAATTGGAGAGTGAATCAGTCTCTCTCTCTCTCTCTAACTGTGCCTTTCAAATAAATAAAATAAACCTTTGAAAGAAGGAAGGAAGAAAGGGAGGGAAAGAGGAAGGAGGGAAGGAGAAAGAGAGAGAGAGAAAGTCCCCAGGAGGGAGTTCAGGGGTTGCTTGGTTTTGTTCCTGGCACTCTTTCTTTGCTGCTCCTCTTAATGAATCTTTCAGCTGTTGGGTCCTGGGTTCTTTCTGGGCACCCGTCTCAAAGACTGGACACATGGGAAGAGTCGGATGGTGCCAGGTTTATTTCTCTAAGCTCCCAACACAAACTTCCGCAAGTGTCTTCAGCATCTCTAGATGGAGACAGGCAGACATCTGCTTCCTGGTTCAGATGAGATAGCTGTACCTCCACTTGGATCTAAGTGAACAACTGGTTATTCTGGGATATTGTGCCACAGTGTGCTGTCAGCTATTATGTGTGGAGCACCTGCTTTTGAGCAGGAATCATCTAGCTGAAAGGGAAGCAAAGATGCTTCCTGCCCTAACGGCAGAGACAAGACATGCAGACCTAAGAAGCAAACTGAATCGTCAGGGTAGATGATGCAAAAGCACAAATGAATGGCAGGTGCACTGGAGTCCCCAGGGAGAAATAGAGCAGCTCAGAAAGGCTTCAGGGAAGAATTGATCATGTCAAGGCAGGCCGGAAGAGGTGATGGCAAAAGCTGGACATTAGGTCCTCGGGATGCTGTGTTTAGTGGTGGTGGATGGAGAGATTTGCTGAGATCCACCAGGAAGCAGGGGCCAGCCCAGCCGTGAGTGCCAAGTTAAGGACTTCCGATTGTGCTTGTTGACACTAAAGAGCCAATAGACAGCGTTTTCCAGAAGGGTGTGCCGGGAGAAGGCCTGTTTGCCACTTCTCCCTTGAGGCATTCTCTTGTGGCTTCAGCCCACATTGGGAAATCTCTAGTTTTAGAGTGGCAGGAAGAAAATGAGCTTGTGAAGGAGCCAAGAGAAGTGAGCAGGGACACAGGCAGAAAACCAGGACAGCCGTGTCACGGAAATTGAGAGGAGCGAGTTCCGAGTTCCGAGTTCTGAGCCGGAGGAAGCCATGCGCAGTGTTGTTGATCACCAGAGGTAGCAGAGGTAGCTGATGAGGCGGCCGGGCTACACCCGGCAAGGGGCAGGTGTAAATGCCAAGGAGCAGGAGGCCTGGGGCAGAGGAGTTTCAGAAAACAAGGATTAGGTAGAGTGAGAAACTGGTGGGGCAGGAAGGGGTTTTCAAGGCGGGTGTGGCCTGGGAGAGGGACAGAGGAGAGGTGGTAGGAGTGTGGGGATGGAGGTGATGGCAGTGGGAGACTTGCATTGGCAAGAAAGAAGGTTCTCTGTTGGGACCTGAAGGGAGGGAGAAATAATGGATATAGACGTAGACTTGCATTGCATCCTGTATTTGATTTTTTAAAGTAGTCAAGCTATTTAGTTAGTTAGTTAGTTTGAAAGGTAGAGAGATAGAGACGGAGAGAGGCAGATCTTCTATCCACTGGTTCACTCCCCAACTGCCTGCAATTGCCAGAGCTGGACCAAGCTGAAACCAGGAGCCCAATCCGAGTTTCTTGTGTGGGCGCCAAGGACCCAAGTACTTGAGCCATCACCCACTGCCTCCCAGGATGCACCTTAGGAGGAAGCTGGAAATGAGAGCAGAGTCAGGACTTGGACTCAGTACTCTGATGTGGAACACCGCCGTCCCAACTTATAGCTTAACAGCTGCACCAAATGCCCACCTACGTTTGACTTTTGTATGACACAAACTCATTATTTTATTGCTATTTTTTAAAGATTTATTTACTTATTTGAAAGGCAGAGTTAGAGAGACGCAGAGGCAGAGAGAGAGAGGTCTTCCATGTACTGGTTCACTCCCCAAATGGCCACAATGGCCAGAGCTGGGCAGATCTGAAGCCAGGAGCCTGGGGCTTCTTCCAGGTCTCCCACATGGGTGCAGGGTACCAAGGACTTGGGCCATCTTCCTCTGCTTTCCCAGGCCATAGCAGAGAGCTGGAAGTAGAGCAGCCAGGGCTCGAACCGGCACCCATATTGAATGCCAGCACTGCAGGCAGAGGCTTTACCCACTATGCCATGGTGCCAGCTCTGTCATAGGTATTTTTTTTTTTTTTTTTTGGACAGGCAGAGTGGACAGTGAGAGAGAGAGAGAGAGAGAAAGGTCTTCCTTTTGCCGTTGGTTCACCCTCCAATGGCCGCCGCGGCCGGCGCGCTGCGGCCGGCGCACCGCGCTGATCTGATGGCAGGAGCCTGGAGCCAGGTGCTTTTCCTGGTCTCCCATGGGTGCAGGGCCCAAGCACCTGGGCCATCCTCCACTGCACTCCGTGGCCACAGCAGAGAGCTGGCCTGGAAGAGGGGCAACCGGGACAGAATCCGGCGCCCCGACCAGGACTAGAACCTGGTGTGCCGGCGCCGCTAGGCGGAGGATTAGCCTATTGAGCCGCGGCGCCGGCCTGTCATAGGTATTTTTAAAACTCAGTAATAGGACATAGATATCCTTCCCCCAGGCAATTAATGTAGATCTACATTATTTTTTAAATGGTCGCAAAACTTCCTTTAGTATGATTCTATTATTTATTTGACCAATCCCTTGTTGATGGGCCTGTAGGCTCTTTTTCCTCCAGTTTATCATAACATGAAGTGATCTTTACATGCACATCTTTGCTTGGTTGTATAATTGTCCCCTTTCAGAAGGTCCTAGCAAGGGGATTGCTGAGTCAAAGAGCGCATTCATTCGAAGCATTGATACAGAGCATCAAGCTGCGGCAAATGCATGAGAGCGCCTCACCACCCGCTCCCCTACACACACCTACAGTGGGTGTGCAGTGTAGGCATCTTGAGGGAGCTAGCAGAGGATCTGTAACTGGAGCTAATAGTTTTTATCTTGTCAGAAAAGAAAGGGGAGAGGTGAACTCATCTTTGGAGGATGGGGTGGGTTGGAAGGAGGAGGAACACGAGGACCTGGATGGCTGGACTTTGTTGGAGCCAAATCCACACCATACCCTGATGTGCTCTCGTTGTGCCGGGTTTGCCTGGCCCAGTGCTTCGCAAGCACAATGAGGACTGAATGAGGTGCCCTGGCTGGGAGACAGTTCCAGGCTCCAGGGGCTGAAACTGACCCTAAGGGCAAGGCTGGTCTCGAAGGTCAGGGCGTGCGTGATGAGCCTCGTGATGGAGAACATGTAGAGGTTTACTGCAGTGGGAGTAGGAAGAGCAGTGAGAGGGGATGCAAAGAAAGGAGCTTGAGATCGCGCAGACAGAACATTCATGAGCTTTAACCTCTGAAGGGTGGGCAGCCTGAGCTGTGGTCAACATGGAAATGAGAGCTGTAGATTCCAGGGAACCCCAAGTTGCAGCATAAATGTTGGCTCCATTCAAGTTGATGGCAGGAAGCAGACTGAAGAAATAATCCAAAGCAGGTGATGTTTCCAGAGCAGTGTTCCCCAAAGCAAGGATATTCTGAATACCAATTCCATGGTGGGGGGAGTATTATGGGGGCAGGAAGTTTTGTGGTCAAATTTGAGAAATGCAGAATTAAACACAGATTTAAATGAGAATTTTTTTGCAAGACTTTTCTAAATGTTCACTCTGCTAATCATTTTCCCAGCTTCCTTGACCAAAGAATCTTTTCCCACAAAAAATACTTTGGAACTAGTGTCCTGTAGGACAAGACATATTTTGAAAAAATGGATTTCTTGAAAGTTGGAAATGGATCCTTAGAGTGACAGGCATAGGGATTTGGCCACACAGGACAGCAATAATTGAGGTAGGATAGAAAAATACTCCCAATGACATAATTCTTACTACCATAGATCAAGCCTGTACTACCATCATGTGCCTGTACTTTTTTTTTTAAGATTTATTTTATTTTATTTATTTATTTTTTATTATTTGACAGATAGAGTTAGAAAGTGAGAGAGACAGAGATAAAGATCTTCCTTCTGTTGGTTAAAGATTTATTTTATTTATCTGAAAGAGTTAGAGAGGTAGAGCCAGAGAGAGAGTGAGGTCTTTCTTTCCACTGGTTCATTCCACAAATGACTGCAACAGCCAGAGCTAAGCTGATCTGAAGCCAGGAGCCAGGAGCTTCTTCCGGTTCTCCCATGTGGGTGCAGGGGCCCAAGGACTTGGGCCATCTTCTACTGCTTTCCCAGACCATAGCAGAGAGCTGGATTGGAAGAGGAGCAGCCGGGTCTCGAACCAGCGCCCATATGGGATGCCAGCACTGCAGGCTGGGGCTTTAACCCGCTGTGCCACAGTGCCAGTCCTGTGCCTGTACTTTTCATACATCATCTCTGCATTGTCACAGCAGCTCTGTGGAGTGGGTCCATCCCCCTATTTAATACGTAAGGAGAAGCAGCTCAGAGACAGGAAGGGAAGCACCCATGCGATGCAAATGATGAAAAGCAGAGAATGTGGGGTTCGAAGGACCAGAGGTGACAACAGGGATAGACAAAACTGGTGACCCGCATGTCTCCCACTGCACTGGATTTGTTGGGGTCCCAAGGAGTGGCGAAGGTGCTGCATAGAGTGGGAAACCAGTGGGTATGTGATGGGGGCAATCTGCTGTATTAAGTGAACAGCCCGGGAGCTGCTCTCATCTAGACATCACCGTCCTTTAAAGGGGATATTTAGAAATGAGATGGGCGTCTGGGGTTGTCACCATGACTGCCAATTGCTCTTGGCAGTCGTGGGCAAGGCCAGAACCCTAAATGTCTGCACAGAGTGGGTAAATCCCATCTCGGGAAGAATTGTGCCCCTCCAAAATGCCAACAGGGAAGATCTGAGAGCCAGAAAAGAAGGGAAGCCATTTAGGAGAAGTTTAGGATGAAGGGGAGATTTACCCACAACTTCTGTAGTGACCAAGAAGGCAACAGAATGTAGCAGAGGGCGAATTCAGATGCAGGCAGCAGGATAGGGGGAGAGAAAGCACCTGTCCCAGGGTAGCAGATGTGGATTTCAGGGATGAAGGAGCTTAAGGATGGGGACCGGAAGCAGGGCAAGTGCTGGGGGGGCCAAGGAGACAGATAATGAGAACTTGGGGAGCAGGACAATCGGAGCAGAAAGGACCAGATTCTTTGGAGCTGAGCGGGGGCCCCGGAGACGAACAGTTTCCCACCAAATCCGAACAAACCCACAGAGGAAGGCTGTGGAGAGGGGGCAGCGGCAGGAGGGTTCTAATGAAAACAGCTTTTGCAACTTTAATTACAGCATTCTCCTACCTTCAACTATAGCTGTTCTGCGACTTTAAATATAGCATTGGCTTCTGTGAAAACTCTGAAATCACTCTTTTTCCTGACCCAATTGGCTGTTTTGAAAACCCACTCTGTGAACTCCACCAAAGATAAATCATCAAAATATGTTCCTTGAAGTGCCCAAAGAAAGACCTTTTATTCAGTTCCTCGAATCTCTCCCCCTTGCTGACTCGCGTGGAAGAATGCAGTCCCAGGAAGGCAAAAGAGTGAATCAGTTTCACATGTTTGGTCAACCAAAAGAAAGCCAGCATGGGTGACCACAGTCGAGTTAGCGATTGGTTGACAGGTCTCGGCTGTTTTCCACCCCCAGGGGGAGAAATGAACTGAGCTCAACCCCAGTGGAGTCAGCAACCACACACAGCCATGTGCCAAGACATGCACCTTCAATCAAACTTCTCCGTGCCCATGCGGGAGCAGGGGGTTAGGAAAAGAGGGGGGTTTTCCTGCTCTCGTGGCCGTCCTTGTGATGTTTGAGTTGGATATTAGGACCTGGGGTGACAGCAACACAGCCCCTTTCAGCTCTCCAGTGGCTGCCACTGTTTTATGGGTCTGGGCTCGCAGCGCTGGCCTTCAAAGGCTGTTTGGTTTTTCTTGTTCTAAGCACACCGCCCGTGATTGGGTAGTGAGCACTGGAGCCTGGCTGTGCCTTCATTATGTAATCCAAGGGCAGGGACCAGGATGTTCCCTGGTGACAACGTTGGTGCCTCGGGAACAGGGGAGGCAGCAGCTGGCTCGCAGAGCCTTAGATGCTGGCCCTTCCCATGGTTCCCAGAGCAGCTTTGCTGTCCCAAATGTGCTCCCAGGAAGGCTTTCCTGAAGCGTCTTTGGTGCAGGCATTGATTTACCATCTCCAGTGTCCTTTCTCAAGCCTGCGCCATCCTGTGCTGTCTCCTGGAATCAGCAAAATGAAAAAGGAAGGAGAAGAGGAGGAGGAAGAAGAGAGAAATAGGTTGTCTTCTATTTTCTTACAAAACAGCCTCTCTTCCCATACGCATGGCCTATGGTGACACGGCAATTTCTCCAGACTCCCAGCACCTCAGCATGTCACACTCAGGGCCTCCTCGATTTTCAGCATGTCAAAATCCTGAATTTCATGGATTTTTATGCATGACACACCCAAGAACCATAGCCTTATCTTAGAGGGCCAGAGAAAACAAATGGGATCCTAAGGCAATCAACAGGACACCAATGGGAAAAAGTAAAAATTCCCCCTACCCCACACCCAAACAAGAGCCCTTTTAGTTTAGGAGAGGAATAACATTCCCTCCCACCACCTTTTTTAAGATTTATTTTATTTATTTGAAATAAAATAGAGTTACAGAGAGAGAGCTGGTTCACTCCCCAAATGGTCACAATTGCCAGGCTTGGATCAGGCCAAGAGCCTGGGTCTCCCACATGGATGGCAGGGGCACAAAGACCTAGGCCATCCTCCTCTGCTTTCCCAGGCTCATTAGCAGGAAGCGGGATTGGAAATGGCACAGCTGGGACTCCAACGCTGATATGGGATGCAGGCATTGCAGGCAACAGCTTAACCATCTATAGTACCATGATGCCAACCCTACCCCTTGTTCTAGTGCTGAGAAGGGGAGGGGAAGTAGAGCCTTAATCTTCCTTCCTCCCCTCCCCTCGCTACACGCACACACTCCCTGTCTCCCTCCAGTTCATTCCTTTGCAGTTCAAACCTCAGGGCTCTGTATGTTACCATGGTCTCTGCTTTTTCAAGCGTTTGCAACCTCCATGCTTCAGTACCCCCAACACTCCCTCACCATGGAGTACTCTAAGAATAAACTAAACTTAAACCATATATTAGTCATTCATCTTCACTTTTTTAATAAAAGCAAGCTCATGATTAGAACAGCAGAGGGTAACAGTTAACTGAACACACAGGCCTTCTCAGGGGCCAGTATGCTGTCTCATGCGGGAGGGAGGCTGCAGGTTTCCCAAGCTGTAAACAGACGGCATTCTGGGTGGTAAGATGGCCCCAGCTCAGTGGCCTTTCAGAACTGAGCATGTGCCACTGCGCAGACCTTGTGTGCATATTTGGGACTGGCTTCGGATTCCTGGACATTTAGGAGCTGCTAAGCAGCTGGTTGGTCACTTATTGTCTCCCAGCCTCTAACGTGACCGAGGTGGACTCCGACTTAGACATTCCCATCCCACGCTGTCAGTCTGTGGTTTCCTGTCTCTGAACATACTTCTGAAAGCCGGTGCACCCAACACTGAGTAAGATGGCTCCAGAAGCCCGGGGAGATGGGAAGAGGAAGACGATTCTCTTATCTCTGCTGACCGGCTCGGCCCAGTACAAAGGGAGGAGCAGAGATTCCTGTCTGATCAAGCATCCTACAGTCAATGAGTGCTCAGCCAAGCCTTTCTCATTCTTGTGTCTGCTTCTGCTCTCACCGGAACTATCCACTGTAATGCAATTATAATGAGCCCGTGCTTGCAAAGGATTTGGCTTAAAGAGCCTCGGAAGTGATTTACGTCCGGTAAAGTCAACGAGGCTGCAGCGGTGAGTGGCTGCAGCGTTCCGGACATAGGTAAATCAGGGGCCCCCATGGCTGGGCGCCCCTCCAGAAAGCAGGAAAGCCAAGGGATTAGGCCGAGAAGCCCTCTTTGGGGTTCGTGGAGAGCTCGGAGTTATGGAGCTGAGATGTCAGTGAAGGGAAAGTGGCCAAATGCTCGTGATTTGCGTGAACTCCGAATCTGGAGAGCTGAGATCTGCTCTGGCAGCTGTCATGTCCCTCCCCACGGGGCCACCCCGAGCAGTACCGGAAAACGCCATGATTAATTCCCACTTGCTAAGGATTGCCAGGTGAGGGGGCTCCCGAGGCGAGCAAGGTTATGATAAAGCTGACAGGGTGTTTGCTGAAGGCCGGTGTCAGCCTTGCTTGATTTAAGTCATCCCGAGTGCCTGCGAAGGCTATAAACAGGGAAGTGATGAAATTGGCTCTGGAGCCAGAACAGGGAGGAGGCCGGTCATGAGGGAGGGCAGAGGAGCACCGTGCAGAGGTGGGAAGGAAGACGGAACGGGGCCAGGGAGGCGGCCGCTGCGCGGAGTGGAAGGAATACCTCCCCGAGGGGCTCCGAGGCCGCAGTGCGGCGGCATCCGCGGCCAACCGCTTGCAGAGCGCTTCTGGCCGTGCTCACTGGGGGGGCGAGAGGCTGTGGTTGGTTGGATGAGGTTTTGGTCGGAGGAGCTCAGAAAGCAGGAAGGAATTCTGGTCTGCTTTGCCTGAGGCATTTACTTATGGGAAAGAGATCGTAATCCTGGCGACTGCCAGGCAAAGCCATCCTTGTAAACTGTTGGCAGATGGATGGTGCAGAGCAGCTGAGTGGCAAAACAGAGCTGAAAGGCTGATTTCTTAGGACACAGTTAGAGATCAGCAGTGCCCTCCTCATCGTACTTCGTGTCCTTCCATCCTTCCTTCTTCCACTTCCCCCAGCCCCCTCCAAAGCACTTGACCAAACATGTGCACACACACACACACACACACATACAGGCACCATCAGAAAGAGGCTACCTGAATCTGCTACAGTGGAACGAAAACTAATTTAGGAAGCTTTGCCTCTAGCTGGCCCTTTGACTTTAGCCAGGCTGTAAACCTCAGCACACACACGTACACACAACCACATGCACACACAGCTTGGTTTCCTCACCTGTCACTCATCTCTCTGCTGGGCTAGTTGTAGGAATCCCACGGAAAAATAGGTGTCGAGTGCTTTCAAAGTGCTAAAGCCCAGCTCGCCACCTCCCCACCAAGTAACTCCAAATCTCTGGCAGTAGGGCACTGATCCTGTTCTCTTGAAAAATCCCTACATGACTCCAGGCCTAGAACCACCACCAGAAAGCAGAATACAAAGCCATTCATAGATGCATTAGAAATTGCATTTGTTGGGCCCTTCTGTGTGCTTGGGGCTTTGGAGAAAGCAAACAACAAGACAAGTACAGTCCCTGCCGGCAGAACTTAAACACCAGGGGAGAGAGCTGTTGCACTGCCTCCTACAAAGGGAGACCACAGAGCAGGTGGAAGTACACATGACAGGGAACCCACTCGAGGCTGGAGCTCCAGGTAGACTCAGCTGAGGAAGTGACGTTGAAGCCCTGTAGGCTGAGCAGAGGGCAGCGATGGCGGCATCTATAGTTTGAGGTCACTGGTGCTTCTCTGCTGAGTGCGTTCAAGGCGGCCTGGGCTTTCCAGGTGCTCCTTGCTGACTCTGCATCCTGGCTGTCAGGTTGATCCCAGTGGCCATGGCCCGAGCGTTTGGGAAATGAGGTCTCAGCGATAACAGGCCTAGGATGCTCCTCAGGCTCCTTCTCAGTGCTGTTCGACTCTGTTTCTACCATGACCTTGTAGCTGCAGGGGCAGGATTTCTCAGCACTTTGTAGAACCTTTGCTTCTTACTTTGAAGTGGTCATAGGTATGGTAGAAAAGATTTCCGGGGACTGGCACTGTGGTGTAGTGGGTAAAGCCATCACCTGCAGTGCTGGCACCCCATATGGGTGCCTGTTCAAGTCCCAGCTGCTCCATTTCCCATCCAGCTCTCTGCTATGGCCTGGGAAAGCAACAGAAGATGGCCCAAGTCCTTGGGCCCCTGCACCTGTGTGGGAGACCTGGAAGAAGCTCCTGGCTCCTGGCTCCTGGCTCCTGGCCCAGATCAGCCCAGCTCCAGCCGTTGCAACCATTTGGGGAGTGAACCAGCAGATAGAAGACTTTCTCCCTCTCTCTCCCTCTCTCTGCCTCTGTGTAACTCTGTCTTTCAAACAAATAAATAAATCTTTAAAAAAAAAAAAAAAGAAAAGAGTTCCAAGTTTAGATCTTGACTTCACCACTTACATTTTCTGTGCTGGTAAGCAATGTTCTTAACTTCTCTGAACCTTGGTCTTTTTGTCCATGAAAGTGATGCTTTCGCCTGTAAGGTCTACACGGTTGTCATGAAGACTGTCTTGAGGCAAGACCCAGGACTTCATCTCATTAAGACAAAATGGAGAAAAGCAAAACTTGGAACTTCTACTTCTGGCATTATGGACTTAAAACTTTCTCCAGCTTAAAAAAATTCATGGGGCAGGGATGGTGGCACAGCTGGTTAAGTTGATGCTTGCAACTCCAGGCTAGTTCCAGTTCCAGTTCTGGCTACTCCACTTCCCAATCCAGCCCCCTTCTAATGCACCTTGGAAATCAGCGGTCAATGGTCCAAGTGCTTTCATTTTGCCGCCTACATGGGAGATCCCAATGGAGTTCTGGGCTTCTGGATTCATTCTGGCCTAGACCCAGCCATTGTAGCCATTTGGGGAATATACCAACGAAAGGAAGATTCTCTCTCTGTCTCTCTCTCTCTCTTTCTCTCTCTCATTCTCACTCATGCCCCCCCCCCCCATCACTCCACCTTTAAAATAAATAAATAAATAAATATTGTAGAAATATTCTGGGGGTGATAAAACTTAGGTAGTAGATGAACTGCAAACTTAGTGCTAAAAGCCTAGCTAAATTTGAAAGCAGACAGGGGCAATCCTCAAATGATACAAGCAAAACAAATTCAAGTTAGATGTTGAAACAAAACAGGTTAACAAGTACAGAAGCTGGGAATCAGGAGCGGAGGGTCATGGGTACACGAGGACATGGGCAGGAGACACAGCCATGCGTGGCAGGAGAGAAGGGGGAAAGCTGGACCAAAGACCTGTAGCGAAAAGCCCAGACCCAAGAAGAGACCTCTCCCAGCTGCTGTTACACGGCACACCTCTGGAAGGTCCCAGTCCTTTCAGGTTGGCCAGGGTCGTGCCATGTGTGTCAATAAAGCTTTTACCTCTCACCTGAGTGAGTCTGCTCTTTGAAAAAAAGGAGATGAAGGGGTCACAGTAGATTAAGGGGGAAAAAATCTACCTGCCAGAAAGCTGACAAGGAAATCTGCTATGTCCAGAGACACCAGGCCAGAGAAAAGGCTGTGCTGGGTGAGGACAGGCCGGCCCCACATGGTCCGCAGTCCTGGCGTCCAGTTTGTATACTACGTGCACATGTGGGCAGTCCATCTAAGAAACCAAGCTGCAGCTCTGGATTGGTAACTCCTGTAGCAATGGCAGAAGTCAAGGAAAGAGCCTCTGGTAGAAATCTGGAGCACAGATGCCCTCAGGATTCGTCTGCAAGACATGTGAAGAAAGGTTATGTTCTTAGAAAAAACTCTTGCGGAAAAAGAAAAATCAACAGCTCAACTGAAAAATGGGCAAAGGCTACAGAGATGATTCATGGAAAGGCAGGGCTTGCAGGCCCCTGAAATGCTCAGTCTTACTAATAATTTTTAAATGTGCAAAAAAAAAAAAAAAAAAGGCAGTCTGTTGACTTAAAGTCCAAAACTTCTGTTTTTAAGACAAGAATCATTGATAAATCAGTGTATATGTTTTGTGGGTACAAGTGTCATTTGTATATCCTCTCTAAATGGTAACTTACTTGTTAAATCATTAAAGTGTTCTTATAATCTAATCCAGTAAATGCACTGTTGGGAAATTGCCTTGAGCAAATCTTGGGTGCGTAGCATTGTATATAAACAGATTTTCACGCAGTACTGTACACACACGCATACACATGCGTATGCACATACATACACATTCAGAATTTTTTTTTTTTTTGACAGGCTGAGTGGACAGTGAGAGAGAAAGAGACAGAGAGAAAGGTCTTCCTTTGCCGTTGGTTCACCCTCCAATGGCCGCCGCGGCCGGCGCCCTGCGGCCTGCACACCGCGCTGATCCGATGGCAGGAGCCAGGTACTTATCCTGGTCTCCCATGGGGTGCAGGGCCCAAGCACTTGGGCCATCCTCCACTGCACTCCCTGGCCACAGCAGAGAGCTGGCCTGGAAGAGGGGCAACCGGGACAGAATCCGGCGCCCCGACCGGGACTAGAACCCGGTGTGCCGACGCCGCAAGGCGGAGGATTAGCCTGTTGAGCCGCGGCACTGGCCCACATTCAGAATTTTTTCTGAAGCATTTATGTATGAGTTATATACATCATAGTCTTTTATCTGTAAATGCTTATAGAAACATAATCAAAATATAGTTATGAACTCCATGAATTTACTTTAGTACTTAATCTACTGTTCATAATGCACATTTGTCAGCTGACCAGGTAATACCTTCTATAGAGTTCCTTTCCCTCCAGTGCACGGGTAAGCACTGCATCTGGTGGTTCTGTCTCTCTCCTGTTTTGTTGTCTTTGATGACCCTCTTTAACAAAATGCTCTTCACTTTGCGTTTTCTTCCTGTTTCCTCATGACTATATTGGGAGCATGTGTTCTTGGCCAGCACATTATATGGGCAATGGTAGGTGCTTCTCACAGTGCCCATTTGTCCCTCCAAGGTGATGGTCATTTTGACCACCAGTCAGGGTGTTTCCTGATTTCCCCAGTGTATATTAAAACTTCAAAAAGTTCGTAGGAAAGTACAGTTAAAAGATATGTTGCCGGCGCCGTGGCTCAATAGGCTAATCCTCCACCTTGCGGCGCCGGCACACCGGGTTCTAGTCCCGGTTGGGGCGCCGGATTCTGTCCCGGTTGCCCCTCTTCCAGGCCAGCTCTCTGCTGTGGCCAGGGAGTGCAGTGGAGGATGGCCCAGGTGCTTGGGCCCTGCACCCCATGGGAGACCAGGAAAAGCACCTGGCTCCTGGCTCCTGCCAGGATCAGCGCGGTGCGCCGGCTGCAGCGGCGGCCATTGGAGGGTGAACCAACGGCAAAGGAAGACCTTTCTCTCTCTGTCTCTCTCTCTCACTGTCCACTCTGCCTGTCAAAAAAAAAAAAAAGATATGTTTATTTCAGTGAATTTTTTTAAAATCCATGGGTAGCTTTTTCATAACTTTCATAGCTTCTTCTGTGAACTCTTTGTAGACCCCTTGTATGCATGGGTTTTAAAGTATTTTGTACCCCAGTCCGCCCTTCTCTTATTACATTTTGCATTGATCGTGTGAAGTCCCCTGATATCATTACTGGCTTTTACTACTTCCTTTTCCACCACAGAGGAGTCTGAGGAGATACTCTGAGAACCTGCATGCATTCTGCTGCACATCAAAACAACCCTAACGTCGGCACCCGCTGACAGTTCTTGCCTGATCCAGTCTTTACTGTCATGGTTGCAAAATGCAGATTTTTCAACTTCAGCACCACTCTAATGAGCTCCCTTTGCTTTCTTCCTATTTAATCTGTCTGCCTGTCAATCTCTCCTTGTCATGGGCTCATGAATTCCTGATTTTTTTTAAAGATTTATTTATTTATTTATTTGACAGATAGAGTTAGACAGTGAGAGAGAGAGACAGAGAGAAAGGTCTTCCCTCCGTTGGTTCACTCCCCTAATGGCCGCTACGGCCGGAGCTACGCCGATCCGAAGCCAAGAGCCAGGTGCTTCTTCCTGGTCTCCCATGTGGGTGCAGGGTCCAAGCGCTTGGGCCATCCTCCACTGCACTCCTGGGCCACAGCAGAGAGCTGGACTGGAAGAGGAGCAACCGGGACTAGAACCCTGCGCCCATATGGGATTCCGGCTCCACAGGCAGAGGATTAGCCAAGTGAGCCACAGCACCGGCCTATGAATATCTGATTTTTCAGTGACTTGTCATAGCATCATTATACCTGATTGAGCATTCAGATTGGCCCAGATGTCACCAGTGGAGGTGTCTGCAAACTGATTTCTCTATCCTTGTGATATGCCTGTTTCATTTTTGTTTGTTTTGTGCTTCCTTGCTTGCTGTATTAACAAGATGTTCCACGTTCTTCTGTCTACCCTGTCCCTACCCTAGAGTCATCCATTTCTCCAAGGGGTCCTGGTTCTGTTTTTAGTGGAAAATGAAAGCAATGAAGCAGTAGAGATCATGATCTGAGTGGCTAGAGGTCCTCAGTGCTGTTGTATTATCTTTGTTTACTGGACCTGTCAGCAAACAAATACAAATACAAATATACACATGCTGATATACATGCAAATATACAAATATACACATGCTGATATACATGCAAATATACAAATATACAAATATACACATGCTGATATACATGCAAACATGATTATTTTAAGAATCTTGAGTTCATATCTTCTCTTTTCTGTTTTTATTTTATTGTTGAGTAGGCTAATAGGCAAATCTTTTCCTTTAATTGCCTCTGGATTTGGAGGCAAAGCTTAGAAAATCCCCTCAACAGACACTCCCCTAAGAGTTAGGTCCCATCATCAGTTTGCACCCCCACTTCCCAGAACAAAAGCCCTGGTTCCCTCATTCCAGACCATCTCATATTTCTCAAACACCCCTGGAGGGATTTGGCTCATTCTTCCTCATGGTTCATATAAGGCCAGATCTTACCAGAAGGAGGGGGGTGTGGTGTCTGGGGAGCAAGAGCAGTCTTTTGAACGAGAGAATAGATCATTTAGATTTTATTTAGAGGCCGCATGATCTCAGGGAACAACCACTGAATCAGCTTTAGACCTGTGCTTCTCCCTTGGCGTGTTTTTTTTTTTTTTTTTTTTTTTTTTTTTTATCTTTTTGACAGGCAGAGTGGACAGTGAGAGAGAGAGACAGAGAGAAAGGTCTTCCTTTGCCGTTGGTTCACCCCACAATGGCCGCAGCGGCTGGCGTGCTGCGGCCGGCACACCGCGCTGCTCCAAAGGCAGGAGCCAGGTACTTATCCTGGTCTCCCATGCGGGTGCAGGGCCCAAGCACTTGGGCCATCCTCCACTGCACTCCCGGGCCACAGCAGAGAGCTGGCCTGGAAGAGGGGCAACCGGGACAGAATCTGGCGCCCCGACCGGGACTAGAACCCAGTGTGCCAGTGCCGCAAGGCGGAGGATTAGCCTATTGAGCCATGGCGCCGGCCTCCCTTGGCCTTTTGACACCCTGGCAGGTCCTGGGAGAGGCGATGGGAGACAGGGGTCTGTGCACATCCTGTGTGCTTCCCCTAGCTCCTACTTCCTTATCTCCATGGCCTCCCAGCTGTGCTGGACACAGAGTCTTGGTGCAGACTGTGCTGGGCCAGACCCAGCCTTGTGCCTGGAGAGGAGGGAGTCTCCTTCGGATCCCAAGGAAATGGAGGATTGGAGCCAAGTCAGGCAGCCCCAGAGGTCAGAGCAAGGCACAGATCACTTAGGTCACTGAGCTAAGTACCTTCCAGCTTGTGGGAGACAGAGATCCCCTTCCCTGATAAGTGGGACATCCCAGTTCCTCCAGCACCTGATTCCGACCTCCATCCCCCTTTACTCAATGTACAGTCAGGTCACCTGGAGCTCAGGTGGTCTCGCTTGCACGCCGTGGTGGGTGAGGGTTTGGGATGGAGGAACTGATACCCAAGGGGCAGCTGGAGAGGGACATGGCTGGCTCAGGGTCTCAGCCTGGATCTGACAGCACTGACTCCCTCACAGTGAGATCGGCGGGTGGCGACGGAGATGCGTTGTGTGTCACCGAAGAGGAACTGGCAGGTGAAGACGAGGACATGCCATCCTTCCCCTGCACCCAGGAGGGTAAGGGCCCTGGGCACTGCCCCTGGTTTCCAATCTGGCCTGAGAGCTCCCTGCTCCTCTCCCAAACTCATGAGAGAATGTCTCTATGGCTTCAAAATCTGGCTCTCCTTTCTCTACTGTTTCCTTGAAGGCAAAGGGCAGAGGTGCATGGCCCGCCCTCGGCTATACCGTAGACACCATGTCCAAGTTTGACACAAGCCCATCTGTCTCCAGGGCTCCTCCTGAGACCTTCCAGTGTCCTCTGCCCTGTCCCCCAGCCAGGTCCCCTGTCTCCAGGGCCATTTCCTTCCAGCTGGCCCAGACTGTCCCTTGAAGTGTAGCCCATGCACCTGAACTGCTGCTTGGAGTAGGGCTTTCAGTATAGATTACAATGGTTGTTTTCAATCTTGGCCATACGTAACCACCCAGTGGTGCCTGAGACCAGCCTCAGAAATTCCGGCTGCTTTTGGTCTGGAAGCCAGGCATCTGGATTTTTAAATTCTCCTGGTGCTCATAACATTCAGCTGAAATCGAGTTCCCATTAGAAAAATTCCATAGTCAGGCCATCATTGCATTGCCCTTGGGCGTTGGTCACCTGCCCGGGTTTCCAACAACAGCTGGCTCCCTTCTTCCTTCCTACCACTGGACCAGCTGGTGCACCAAAATCATTGACTTGCCTTCCAGAACTGCTTATCCTCCGCGTGGCTGGGAACTGCTGACCAATCTTCTGGTTCCCCGGGGATGTAGGCGGGACTTTTCAGTTTTCAAACTGAGACAGTCTTTGTGAACCTGATGGACTCACCATGACTGGAGAGTTTCAGTGCTAAAACCTGGACAGCTCCTGGGCAAGCTGGGACCAACTGGTCACCCAGTGGTGCAGAAAGGCTGGCCGCCCATGCTGCTGATCACGGAGGGAAGAGGTGTCCCCTGCCCCCCGCCCTGGGCTGAATGGTGGTAGTGATAGGGAGTGGCATTGAAGACGCTGACTCTGCCTCTCCCCTCCCTGCTCTATGTCTCTATAGGACATAGAGAAAGTTGGTAAGCTAGGAAAAGAATGACGGTGGAGAACAATCCCTCCTGAGCCTGGTTTGAGATGTGATGAGGGAGGTCAGAGCAGGAGTGCGGCTTTGGCCCTTCAGCTCCAGCCTCCCCCTCCCGCAAGCCGTGACCTAAACTACTGCCCTCTCCTGTCCCGCCACAGGCCAGCCCCGGCTCCGCTGCAGCCGCTGCCAGAAGAACCTGTCCCTGCACACATCGGTGCGGATCCTTTACCTCTTCCTGGCCCTGCTCCTTGTGGCCGTGGCTGTGCTGGCCTCTCTGGGTGAGTCCAGGGCCTGCCCATCCTGGGTTTCAGGGAAGTGTCTGCTCAGGGCTTTGGCAGAAAAAAAAAAACTCCCCTGCAAAGATCAGCACTTGGTATCTGTAGCCCAAGGCCCAGAACCAGCATCCTCTGGCTAAGGAATCTCACTACCTAATCAAAACTCCTAATTTCTGATGCAGAAAGAGCCGTGTGGCTTTGAGCAAGACACTCTCCCATCCAGGCTCCTTGTTTTCCTAGAGGTGAAAGATATGGAACTAGATTTGCTGTTCTCGGTTTCAGCTCCAAGTTGGAATCACCTGAGACCTTCAAAAGTGTAAAAAATATTTGGCCGGCGCCGCAGCTCACTAGGCTAATCCTCCGCCTAGCGGCGCCGGCACACCGGGTTCTAGTCCCTGTTGGGGCGCCGGATTCTGTCCCGGTTGCCCCTCTTCCAGGCCAGCCCTCTGCTGTGGCCCGGGAGTGCAGTGGAGGATGGCCCAGGTGCTTGGGCCCTGCACCCCATGGGAGACCAGGAGAAGCACCTGGCTCCTGCCATCGGATCAGCGCGGTGCGCCGGCCGCAGCGCGCCGGCCGCAGCGCGCCAGCCGCGGCGGCCATTGGAGGGTGAACCAAGGCAAAGGAAGACCTTTCTCTCTGTCTCTCTCTCTCTCACTGTCCACTCTGCCTGTCAAAAAAAAAAAAAAAAGTGTAAAAAATATTGACACTGGGGCCTCACCCTGCATAATTAAATTAACATAAGTATCTTTCAGGTGGTTTTGTTGACCATCGCTGTTGAGATCACTCGATGAGGGGTCTTCTAAGCTCCTTCGATGGTCTATTTGAGAGGTGTTTTTGTTTTTTTTTTTTTTTTTTTTTTTTGACAGGCAGAGTGGACAGTGAGAGAGAGAGACAGAGAGAAAGGTTTTCCTTTTGCCGTTGGTTCACCCTCCAATGGCTGCTGCGGCCGGCGCACCGCGCTGATCCGAAGCCAGGAGCCAGGTACTTCTCCTGGTCTCCCATGGGGTGCAGGCCCCAAGCACTTAGGCCATCCTCCACTGCCTTCCCTGGCCACAGCAGAGAGCTGGCCTGGAAGAGGGGCAACCGGGACAGAATCCGGCGCCCCAACCGGGACTAGAACCCGGTGTGCCAGCGCCGCAAGGTGGAGGATTAACCTAATGAGCTGCAGCGCCGGCCGAGAGGGTTTCATAGTAAGATTAGATCCCCTCCTGCATTAAGATCCCTCCCAGGATTTCTTAAAATGCAAATTCCTGGGTCTCACCCAGCGCTACTAAAGCAGAGCCTGCAGGTGAGCCCGCGGAGCTGCTGAAGGCTGGTGCCTCTCATGCGTGCTGCACTTTGTACGCTGGAGTAGCTGACCCAGTCACAATTGGGTGGCTTCTACCCTCTGCTGCTCAGCTGATGGTAAACTGACTGGAACAAATGTGCTGGTATCTCACTGCAATGCCATTCAACTCTTAGCTTCCAACCTTGAAAATCCGTGCTCAACTAGGTTTGTTTGTTCTAATCTACTAAAATTAGGGGCCAGGGTAGGAGAAGGGAGAGGCCTGCTCACCCTGAGGACAAGCACCTTGCTAGGAAGGGCACCTGTTCCTGGCCCTGATTGGGGATATCCATTAACTAGCCTTCTTGGCTTGAAGGCAACAGGCCAGCATATTAATGATATGAATCACACTGTAGTCCTCTTCCAGTAATCCTGAAGGCATGAATTAGCTCAGCCCAAGCCAACCACTAGTAAGTGCCAGGTACTGGGAGCACTGAGTTCAATTACGTGTCATCATTGAAGGGACTGTCTCCCTTCCCTATCTGTACACTAGAACCCCTGGAGAGAATTTAACAATCCCAGTGCCAGAGTCTCCCACCCCCACTCCAAACACGCAGAGTCCAGATGAATTAAATCATCTCTGGGTAGCACTCAGGCCCTACTTGTTTATGGGAAGCTCCTCAGGGCATTCTGATGTGCACCCGGATCTGAGGACCACGCGTTTCAGAACTTCCCGAGCTCCTCACCCCTATTCTGCTCGGCTCCACCCATCTCTGCTAAATACTTCTCAGAGCTTGATCTTTCCAAAAAATGACCAAAATCCCCGACCGTGAGAGGAGGAGCCTTAATCCATGATCAACAGCAGCAACCTGGCCCCGGGAGAATTTATCAAATTCCTGGGTAACCCCCCAGGACCTCAGCCCACAGCACCGAGGGACCTGGAACCCTTCCTAAAAGCTCCAGCAGCCCAGACAAGGCGGACAGGGTGAAGGCCCTGAATCCTCTCAGCAGGCCTTCAGTGGGGAGACTCCCCATTCCACCTATGAGGAATCACATCTGGGAAGATGAAATGATTGGAAATGAGGTCCAGGGTGAATGGGCTGAGGAGTGGAAGCGTTAGGGGTGAGGAGTGAATAGGCAATCACAGGAGACCTTTAGGGTTTCAGTGTTTGCCTCTAGCTCGGGTATCTCAAGTCCTGAGAATCATGTGGCACCAACCTGACCCTGACTGGTAGGTACTCAATGATATTTGTTGAATGAATGACTACATATTTGTGTGTGTGTGTGTGTGTATGTATGAATAGTTCTACTCAAAGCTTTGTGATCAGAAGTCCAGAGAGTTGGTCACAATTGGTCTTCCCACAAGTGAACATTGAAAAGCCACTACAGGACGGCACCGTGGCTCAATAGGCTAATCCTCCACCTGCGGCGCCAGCACCCCGGGGTTCTAGTCCCAGTCGGGGTGCCGGATTCTGTCCCGGTTGCCCCTCTTCCAGTCCAGCTCTCTGCTGTGGCCCGGGAGTGCAGTGGAGGATGGCCCAAAGTCCTTGGGCCCTGCACCCACATGGGAAACCAGGAGAAACACCTGGCTCCTGGCTTCGGATCAGCGTGGTGCACCAGCCACAGAGCACCAGCTGCAGCGGCCATTGTGGGGTGAACCAACGGTAAAGGAAGACCTTTCTGTCTCTCTCTCACTGTCCACTCTGCCTGTCAAAAAAAAAAAAAAAAAAAAGGAAAAGAAAAGAAAAGCCACTACATTCATTTAATCAAGTATTCCTCACATGCACGCTGTGGGCCAACAGCTATAGTAGACCAAGGGCAGTACGCTGCTGGATAAACATAGATTCTGCCTTTACGGAGCTTATCATCTAGAGCAGGATTTGGCAAATATTTTCTTTAAGACTAAATTGTTAGTATTTAGGCTTTTCAGGTCACATGTGATTTTTTTTTTTTACAAACAAATTCTGCCATTGTAGAGCGAAAATTGTAGGCAAAATACAAATGAAAGGAGGTGGTTGTGTTCCAATAAAGCAGACATTGGGCTGGACTATAGTCCACAATTTGCCAACTGCTAGTCTAGAGCAGTGATTTATGAATGTTTTTGGCTACCAGTAAAAAAAATGATTTAAAATATACCAGAAAAAATAGCTGAATTGGTGGATAGATAAAAGGATAAAAGAAATGGGAAATAAAGTCAATATAGAAAATGGTAATTATTAAACCTAGGTGATAGACCATGGGGATTCACCATAGGAGTCTTTTGATTATTCTGTTTGTTTGAGAATGTTTATCATAAAATATTGGCAAGGCAAAAAAAATTCATTGGCTCACATCTCCAAAATATATCTACTTTTCTGTAAGTTACATATGTATACTCCTTGCCTATATTGTATGTATTATAAAACAACTTTAAAAGGATGAGAAAAAAATAGATATAAAGAGTAAGTAAAATGGTTAAACAAATTAATATATTATTACAAATGAATGGAATGAATGAGTCCTTGGAGCCTGACTTGAAGGTGGACGTTTGAAGCATTACAACAGGAAGCAAAGTCATTCAACCTCTGTACCTGTCTTCCTCCTTCTAAACACAGGCTCTTAATAAGAGAGAGACACGTGTGGAATAATAACTACTGTAAGTCGTAAAGTGCTAGTCTAATGGAACAGCATACAACTATTCCTGGGCACTCTCAATGGGTCACTGTTACTGATTAAGTAAATCTCTTGGCAGTTCGGAGAACAGTGTTAACTGGGGGACAGAGGTTCCAAATACTTTGAAGTCATAGGATTTTGGAGCTGAGAAGTGCCTTAGAAGTCATCTAGCTCCTCATTTTCATTTTACAAATGATTAAGTTGTGCTGCAGAAAGGTTAATTGACTTGCCTTGGTCATCGAACATTTTGATGTAAATCTGGGACTATCCAGCCCTCTGCCCCCACCTCGAGCGCCTGCGGAAGATCTCTGGGAAACACTTTGTTGATCCCCAGACCAACCCAAGCCCTCCTCCCCCTGCCAGGCCCAGCCAGGCACCTGTTAGAGAGAGCCAGGAGTCCTGCTGCTGAGATGTGCTGTAACCGTGAGCCCCTTCATGGAGTGTGATACAATGGTATAACCTTCCCTGGGGGACAGTTTGACAACTTGCATCAAGGACTCAAAAATGTCAATTCCCACAGACCCAATAATTCTACTTTTAGCAATTTTTCCAAAGAGAATCATCATACACACAACCATCACATGCAGGTATTATTTCTAGCATCAAGTGTAACACACATTTATATGTCAAGCTTGATTTATAAGCTCAGAAGAGGAGGTACTTCAGATATCCCCAGTGATAGGAGACTTTTACATGATTATTGTATCATTTATATAGAGTATGATGGAGACACTAAAGATAGTTTTAAAGTGATGTAAGCCTCAATGGAAAATGTCCACGATGTGATTCCAATAAAGCAAGATAAAAGAAAACACATGAGATGCCTAGAACATACCAGTTTTGCTTTTGTTTCCTTCCTTCCTTCCTTCCCTCCCCTCCCCTCCCCTCTTCTCTCCTCTCCTCCCCTCCCCTCTCCTCTCCTCTCCTCTCCTTTCCAGAATTACAGAGAGGGAGAGACAGAGAGAGAGGTCTTCCATCCACTGGTGGATTCCCCAAATGGCTGCAATGGCCAGGGCTGGGCCAGGCTGCAGCCAGGAGCTTCATCTGGTCCCATGTGGGTGACAGGGGCCCAAGATTTGGACCACCTTCCACTGCTTTCCCAGGTGCATTGGCAGGGAGCTGTATCAGAAGTGGAGCAGTGAGGCCAGTTCTGTGGTGTCACGGGTAAAAGCCGCCGCCTCTAGTGCCAGCATCCCATATGGGCGCCGGTTTGAGTCTTGGCTGCTCCACTTCCAATCCAGCTCTCTGCTATGGCCTGGGAAAGCAGTAGAAGATGGCCCAGATCGTTGGGCCCCTGCACCCATGTGGGAGACCTGGAGGAAGCTCCTGGCTCCTGGCTTCAGATCAGTGTACCCCTGGCCATTGTGGCCACTTGGGGAGTGAGCCAGCAGATGTAAGACCTCTCTCTCTCTCTCTCTCTCTCTCTCTGCTTCTGCCTCTCTGTAACTCTCCCTTTCAAATAAATAAATCTTTAAAAAAAATTAAGAAGTGGAGCAGCTGGCCCATATGAGATTCCAGAATTGCAGGCAGTGGCTTAACGTGCTACACCATAATGCTGACCCCATTTCCTTTTTTTTTTCTAAAAAAGTATGTAAAATGACTGTCAATGTGAAAGAGGCTCAAGGAAATACAGGAAGATGTTTGGCACGATGTCTGGATGATACGATTGAGAATTATTATTTTTTTAAAGGGATGTGCAGTGAACTCTGGCTGTCAGAAGCATATCCCTCCTCTGCCATTGGGACGCCTCCTGCAGGAGAGTGAATGGTGTAGGCTGCAGAGGGCCTGATCAAAATGCCTTCCCAACAGATGACCACTGTGTGAACTAAGGCCCTGCCCAGTTTCTTATCCGTATTTCCCCTACAGTTTTCAGGAAAGTGGACTCTCTCTCAGAAGACATCTCCTTGGCACAGTCCATGTATGACAAGAAGCTTGTGTCCATGCAGGAAGATCTCCAGGGGCTGGGTAAGTGTGTGAGTCTAGCTGTGCTGATGACTGTGACATACGCCAGCTTTCACTGGGGCCATGGTGCCCCAGAGCAGGGCGGGCTTCCCCGGCCTTCCAGGCACAAGGACACACTCACAGCTCCCTGCTTCCCTCGCCAGCCAGAGCACCATCCATCCAGGATTGGGGCAGGTGGCTCCGTGAGGGGTGCACATCTACCCAGTGTGCAGATAGAAAAGGAAGCCAAAGATGATCCATTCCCAAAATATCCTCAGCCGTTGCAAATGATTTTTTGAGACCCTCCAAAGCCTCTTAACAGGCCAGCCCTTTAGTCGTCACTGCATGAGGCCACTCTGCAGCCCACGACGCTCGTCTCCTGCTGTACCCAGGAGTGTTCTGAGAGAGGAGACAGAAGGAGCCGTCATCCAAGAGTTTAGAAGTGGTCTGATGCAGATACAAAGTCCTGACCTGCCACTAACTAGCTGAGAAAAGCTTTGCAAGTCTCTTCTCTCTGCCTCATTGCCCATGAGTCACAGCATGAAAATCTTTGTGCCGCCCTCTCCACAAGTTTATTACAGAGAGGGTCAAGTGAGAAAACAGATGTAAAGTATCCAGAGAAATTTTAAAATAAAGAATAAATGGGAGGTGCTTGGCCATCTCAGAAAGGTTATGGAGATATGGCTTCTAGAATTTGGCTGTGGGAATAGCAAAAGTGTCCTAAATCCTACATCTCAGATCACAACAAAGGCATTTGGTAAAATGAGATTTTATAGAGATGGCAAGGCTTTCCCGAGAAGGATTCCATAGCAGGACTTAGGAAAGAACGCAGAGTTGGGAAGCTACTTGCCAATTCATCATGCTCTGACGTGTTTTATTTACACAACCACTATCCCCTGATCCTTCAGCAACTCAAAATGTTTTCCCTCTCTCCGCAAGATCCAAAAGCCCTGAACAACTGCTCCTTCTGCCATGAGGCTGGGCAGCTGGGGAAAGAGATCCGGAAACTGCAGGAGGAGCTAGAGGGCCTTCAGAAGATGCTCCTGGCCCAGGAGGTGCAGCTGGACCAGACCTCCCAGGCCCAGGAACTGCTGTCCACCACCAGCAGTCAGATCTCCCAGGAGATGGGCAGCTGTTCCTTCTCCATCCACCAGGTCAACCAGTCCCTGGGGCTCTTCCTGGCGCAGCTGAGAGGCTGGCAGGCCACCACAGCTGGCCTGGACCTCTCTCTGAAGGACCTCGCCCAGGACTGCTATGACGTCAAGGCTGTAGTGCACCAGATCAACTTCACCGTGGGGCAGACTTCCGAGTGGATCCACGGCATACAGCGGAAGACAGACGAGGAGACCCTGACCCTCCAGAAGATGGTCACAGACTGGCAGAACTACACCCGGCTTTTTAGCAGCCTACGCGCCACCTCCGCCAAGACCGGAGAAGTGGTCAAGAACATCCAAGCCACGCTGGGGGCCTCCTCTCAGCGCATCAGCCAGAATGCCGAGAGCATGCACGACCTGGTTCTTCAGGTCATGGGCTTGCAACTGCAGCTGGATAACATCTCGTCCTTCCTGGATGACCACGAGGAGAACATGCATGACCTCCAGTACCACACCCGCTATGCCCAGAACCGCACGGTAGAGAGGTTCGAGTCCCTGGAAGGACGCATGGCGTCTCATGAGATAGAAATCGGCACCATCTTCACCAACATCAATGCCACTGACAACCACGTGCACAGTATGCTCAAGTACCTGGATGACGTGCGGCTCTCCTGCACGCTGGGCTTCCACACCCACGCCGAGGAGCTCTACTACCTGAACAAGTCCGTCTCCCTCATGCTGGGCACCACTGACCTGCTCCGGGAGCGCTTCAGCCTGCTCAGCGCCCGGCTGGACTTCAACGTCCGCAACCTCTCCATGATCGTGGAGGAGATGAAGGCCGTGGACACGAGGCACGGGGAAATCCTGCACAACGTCACCATTGTACGAGGTAAGTGTTGGACCCAGGCAGGGCTGCTGGTGTAAGGTGGGATCCTAGCAGGCTAATACAATCCTGTAGCAAGCGCCTAGGGTAGTGAGCAGAGGGAACAGCCTTACAAGCCTTAGTGTATGGTTTCTAACTTGTCTGGTGTACAAATCTGGATTTTTACATGGAGACTTGCTTCATTGGGCCCACATAGACAGACAGACCTGTGTTTTTGAACTTCTGTCTCCTGCAGCTTTCTCCCTTACCACCCGCTGCTCTCAGCCGTCCAACCACCTGCCCGTCCCAGGCCCATTACTCTGATGCTCTGCTCTCCTCCCAGCCCCCGTGTGGCCCCCTGGGTTCATCATGGTCCTCGAGAGAAACAGAAGCTATGGTGTGTAGACAGATAGACTGACAGAAAGGTATTATAAAGAATCCTCTCGTGTAGTTATAACAGCTGGCAAGTCCACAGTCGGCAGAGCTGGTGTTCCAGTTCAAAGGGCATCAGGCAGGAAGAATTCTCTCGTATTCAGGAGAAGGTCAGACATTTTGTTCTGTAGAGGATTTCACCTGATTGGATCAGTCCCCCCACTATAAGAAGGGCAATCTATTTTACTTAATCTATCAACTTATTTTTTTATTTTTATTTTTTTATTATTTTTTTGACAGTGGACAGTGTGAGAGAGAGAGAGAGAGAGACAGAGAGAAAGGTCTTCCTTTTGTCGTTGGTTCACCCTCCAATGGCCGCTGCGGCCGGCACGCTGTAGCTGGCACATCGCGCTGATCCGATGGCAGGAGCCAGGTGCTTCTCCTGGTCTCCCATGGGGTGCAGGGCCCAAGCACTTGGGCCATCTTCCACTGCACTCCCTGGCCACAGCAGAGAGCTGGCCTGGAAGAGGGGCAACCGGGACAGAATCCGGCGCCCCGACTGGGACTAGAACCCGGTGTGCTGGCACCACAGGTGGAGGATTAGCCTAGTGAGCCATGGCACCAACCTAATCTGTCAACTTAAATCTTAACTGTATCAAAACACCCTCACAAACATGTTCAGTATAGTGTTTGTCCAACTAGCTGGGTACCCTGTTGTCCAGTCAAGTTGTCACACAAAATTAACCATCACAGCTCCACCCCTTGTCAACTTGGCACCCATACACATCTTCCTAAACCATACTTAATGTCTAAATAGACAATGACCAGCTCACAAGTCCTCCTAACGTGATACAACTACCCTGTGTACAACCGAGAATGCAATAATTCTTTCCCCAGAAGAGGAGTTAAAGTCCTGGAGTGATCTGTATTCTTCCCCTTATATCTCATAACTTAAATATTTTGATGTAAAGTTAACAATATTTAAATACTGTGATATAAAGGCAACACATCTATGTTACACATAAGAGAACAAGAAATGAAAGCAAGCAAAGTTAGTTGCAATATACATAGATATATTCATATCAGAATAAGGAATATATTCACAGTCATGAAATATTTATCACAATTATGGTCCTCATTTCTGTAACCGGGCCCATGCTGGCATTTATAACCACCTCTTCCAGCATCTTTGCCTCCAATAAAAACAGCTCAGTTGGTTGTGTTTCTTTACCTGGTGGGTTGATCCACACCTTTATTCCTTAAGGGTCTGGACCATTATTATTCCTACCTGGATTGAGTTAATGAAGTTTTCCATTGATCTTCATCACCGAGCATGATGATACTAAGAGACAACCTGAGTGAGCTCCTGTATTCCAGACATATTCTCCTCACCTCTTTTGTAGAGTAGCAGCACAATTTGTCCTTGATAATCAGGATCGATCACTCACATCAACACAGTAACTCTTGTGGATTCAGAGGCATGAGGAGCCCAAAGTGGCCAGGCAGCAGTCTTAATTACCAGCCCTTGATTCTTGAACTTGTGAATCTTGGCAGCTGGCGAAAGAATGCCATATGTTGGACACTGATTGAGAGCATTTACAACCTGCTGGAGAAGCTTGCCCCAGCCGCACAAAGTATCGCCAACTAGCTGGTGTTGTAATTGGGTCTTCAAAAGGACATCCCACATTCTGCTAAATCAGTGGCTTCAGTTTGGGAGAGAGCATAGTAAGACCAGTAAATCATCATGAGTATGGGGCCCTCGCCTCACACCCTTCACTGTGAAGGGAGATCCTTTATCAGACGTTATGCTGTATGAATGCCATGACTGTGGATCAGGGAATCTATCAACTCACAGAGGGTAGTTTTGACAGCAGCATTTCATGCAGGAAAGGCAAACCCATATCCAGAATAAAGTCTATTCCAGCAAGAACAAAATGCTGGCCCTTCCATGATGGAAGCGGTCTGGTGTAATCAACCTGCCACCAGGTAGCTGGCTGTGCTCCCCAGGGAATGGTCTGTATCAGGGACTCAGAATTCATCTTTGCTATTGGCAGATTAGACAATGGCAGTGGCCACAGCCAGGTCAGCCTCGGTGAGTGAAAGTCCCTTTTACCAAGACCATGCATAACCTCCATCCCTGCCACTGGGGTCACTTTATTCGTAAGACCATAGGCAATGACACAGGTGGTTGGGAGACTAGGCTGACTAGTACCCACAGAACTGGCCATCCTAGCCACTTGAATGTTAAAATCCTTCTCTGCTGAGGCCATCCTTGGGTGCGCATTCATATGATACACAAATATCTCCACAATTTTCACCCATTCGTAGAGATCTATCCCTATACTTCTTGCCCAGATTTCCTTGTCACCACTTTTCCAGTCGTGTTCCTTCCAAGTCCCTGACCATCCAAGCCATGGCCACAGTCCATGAGTCAGTATATAATAGCACTAATGATCATTTCTCCTTCCAAAGCAAGTGAAAAGCCAAGTGCATTGCCCAGACTTCTTCCCACTAGCATTTTCCTACACCACTGATGTCGCAGAAATGGGCTGTGGCACTGCAGGTGTCCACTTTGTGTGGTGCCTGCATGTGGTGCCAAACCATCTATAAACCAGATCCAACTTTTCTCTTCCCCTGTCAGCTTTTCATGAGGCTCTAGGTAGAAGCTGGGAAAGAAAAGATAGCATAATAAGAGTGAGGACTATGGACATTTGGGCCACTTCTTCATGTACTTGTGCCTTCAAGGCCTGCTCAGGCCCTATCACATATATACCCACTTTCATTTGATGATGGAGTACTACTGTATAGGCCCAAATTGATGCGCTGTGTGTCAGCTAACATCCAGTTCATAATGGCTGGCTGAGGTCTCTGCTAAGGCCAAGTAACAACCAGGTACTGCGCCTCCTTTCTGGCTGCAGCCACCTGTCCTTCACCTTAGGAAGGACATCTTGATGTGCCTGTGCTGCCTGGGCACATCACTGAGATTGAAGCTCCCTGAGCTTTCATCAGACTTATCTCCCACCTTCTGACAGATACCTTGCTTACCAGTAAGTTCATGGTTGCTACTTCTTGCTCAGCAGGTCCAATCAGCATAATGTAATCCAGTGTGATCTCCCGGGGAAGAGGAAAGTGATCAAGAGCTCTGGGGGCGACATTACGACGTAAGGCTCGAGAACGGCCATTCCTCTGAGGAAGGGCAGTCGGTGCATTTCAGCCTTGCCAGCCTGCAGCAGATGGCTCCCAGCAGTCTTTAGTGACAGGTGTGGCAGTAAAAACATTTACTGATCAATAGCTGCAAACCAGGTCCCAGGGAATATCTTAATTTGCCCAAGCAATGAAACAGCAGCTACGGTTGGAGTCACTCCCTCGTTAAGCTTCTAATAATCCACCATCATTCTTCAGGATTCAATCATGTGTCCACCAGCCACATGGGTGACCTGAGTGGGGATGTGGTGGGCATCACCACCCTACATCTTTCAAGTCCCTGATGTGGCACTAATCTCTGCAAGGCCCCTGGCGGTGCAGGATTGCTTTGGTTTACTGTGTTCCTAAGTGTGGCTTCCAGTTGGGCTTTCCCATCATAATAGCCCTCACTCCACAGGTCTGGAAACCAACGTGGAGGTTGTACCAACTGCGAAGGGTATCTGTTCCAATTATGCACTCTGGTACTGGGGGAATAACCCTAACATGGGTTCAGGGACCCACTGGATCTGCTGCAAGTTGTAGCTGAGCTAAGCTCCATTGATCATCTGACCTCCATAAGCCCCTACTGATAACCGGAGGGCCATAGTGATGTTTTAGGTCTCCTAGAATGAGAATCAGTTCAGATCCAGGTGCACTGGTCCCCAAAAGTTCTGATTAATTTCCTTTCTCCAATGTACACTCTAATTAATAAAAGACCATATGTTATTTTGGGTAAGCTGTCAGATTAACGTTATAAATATTAACGCCATTCATTGGAGTCTTCTCTCAGGAGGATTCTGTCTCCCCTTCATTCCGGGGTTCTGGTTCTATAAACTGACTCAGGTTTGGGAATTGACTGAGGGGCATGGTTGTCTTTTTATGATTCAAGTTTAGATTTTTGTTACGTAGAATCTCTGTTTATACAGATCAAGTAAGAATTCTGTAGGTTCCCTATCTTATTTCACGTTGAGGAACACCATGGTAAATCAGCCAGGGCCACAGGCCTTGACAGGCAAACTGTTTTGATTGCTGCTCTCACTCTGCTGTCCCTTATGGTAAGCACACCCACCTGCCGTTGCCACCACTTAGGGCTGCCCCCCGGGGCCCAGCTGCTTTCACTGCGATTTAGTTTCCCCATCAGTGAAAGCAGTCCCCACTGTAAGGTCTGGCCTACAGAGAAGAGCAACCACGAGCCCCCCAACCCAGGATGCCAGGGCTCCCCTCACAAACTTATTCCTCAAAGTCACGGTGAAAGGTGTGTCTTCCGTACCCTGCCAGGGTAGCTGAGGAGGTCTCCAGGGACCAGTCTACTCTGGCATTCCAGTCGCCGTAAGTCTTTGAATCGCTTCCTCTTCATAAACCAAGGCAATTCCCACATTTCTAACTCTCTTACTATGGGTTGCTTTTTGGTCCATGCGTCAGTCACCCAACCGAATTGCTGAGAGCCCTTCCTGATTCCCTGAGCTATGCAG